TTTTTTTTTTTTTTTTTTTTGAGAAATGCCTATACATGGGACATAGAGTTAGGATATTGTATGTGTATAAGTGTGATAACAGTTTATTGAATTTTTAAGAAAAATTGAGTTATTACATAAACTTGTGTATTGCAATATAGTATTTGTAATATTTGTTTGTTTAATAATTTATGATAATGGTAATGATAGGATCTTGTTTTGAATCAAGGAATGAAAAAATTGGGGGAAATTTTACATGTTCGTGTGACTCGAGCCATTAGACTACCTTTATCCGTGACCTTGTGGCTGGGTCACGGAACTAAAACAAAAAAACAAAATAATAAAAAAAGAGGGGAAAGGTCACCGTAGCGTGCGACCCAGGTCACATTGTGACCTCGGGTCGCCTCCGGTTTTTATACGGAAATAGGATATTTGTCTCATTTTTATTGCACAAGTGTATTTTTTTGTATCTAAAAAAAATAAAAAAAAAATATTAAAATTCGTATTTTTTCATTCTCTACAAATAGAGACCACACTTGATATATTTTAGAACACAATTGTAATTTTTAAATAAATTAAAATAAAATAAATATTTAAGTTGAGTTGGGTTATGAATAAAGATAAATTGGGTTGGAAGATTGAGTTGTGTAGGTAGAAGAGAAAGAAATAATTTTTAATTGTTAGGTTGGGTTGAGTTGGGTTAGGGATAAGGATAGTCTTAGATCAATACACATGCGCAAAGGTCAAAGGTGCACGGTTCATACCTTGTCCACATCAGTAGGGTTAAGTTGACCTGCTTGTGATATGAAGGTTCAGACTGAATTGACGGTTGAGATTGAATCGATCTAAACAGTGATCTCACGGTTTAGATTGTATTCACCTTAGTAAGGTCGAATATTATGGGAAAATTGATAATGTATGTTATTTGAAGTATTGGAAATTTGGAATAGTTTAGTATTACTAGAGGATTCAATAAAAGTAACATGATACAAAATAGGGAAATATTACGTCCCGTTACGGAACTATTTTGTCGGAATTTGTAACCGTTAGATTATCATATAACCGACGTGAATAGTTGATCTAACGGTTACATTTACATTTAATAATACACCCAGAAACAAAGTTCAGACGTCTCTCATCCACACATTATTAAAATTTTCAACAACAAAATCAAACCCCACACAAAAAACACACACAATATTTCATTACAAAAACATTAAAAATCAAAAAGAAAAAAAAAGGGGGGGAATTTTTTTGCTGAACGGCACACTTTGAAATCAAAATCACACCACCTGAAAAGACGACGCCGCTGCCACCAACACGGCGCAGGCCGCGGCGCGAGCCACCGTCTCCCACCCACGGATCACGCAGGACGAGCTCGCCACCTCGACGTCCGCCGCCGGCGGAGCCCTCGGCGCCCGCGCCTTCCTCGGCGGCGGCGGAGGAGGCGGAGACGGCGGCAGCGCCTCGAAGAACCTCCGCGGCAGAAGCACCTTGCCCACCTCGTACACCGCCAGCTGGTCTCCGGCGTACACCGCGCTCCCCACCGACGCGTTCGTGTACCCCGTGGTGATGTTCGCCCCGCCGCCGCTCCCCGCTGCCGCCGTCACGTTCATCGCGAACAGCTCCTGAGCGCCGCCTGCCTGCGTCCGGAGAGGGTTGCTCACCGTGTCGAACTGCGACGGCGCGAGCAGCGCCGGAACCACGTGGAACTGGATCAATTCCATCTTCCGGTCGTCGGAGAGCGAGTTGAGGGCGCCGGATTTCAGATCCGAAAACGCTGCGTCCGTCGGGGCGAAGACGGTTAGGGCTTGGTTCGAGTCGTTGAGCTGCGTGTGGATCTGGTCGGCGACCTTGGTGCTCTTCAGCAGGCGGATGAAGGTGGCGAAGTGGCCGGCCTTCGCGAGTATGGCGGTCAGGTCGGGCGGGCCAGACGGGGCCGGGCCGGGGGCCGCCGCCGGGGTCTGGGCGGAGGTCGGATGGATTAGGAAGGGGAATAGAAGGGCGAAGGGTAGAATAGTAAATAGCTGATTCATTTTGCGGGAACTGTAGAGAACCGGAGGGATTGGCTTTGGCAAAAAAAAAACGCTGAAATATGGATAACGTTTTTTTCTTTTTTAACTGAAAAATGCACTGGTTTGGGGGGCTTTTTAAACTCGGTGAAAAGGGGCAGAGTGTGGTGAGTTAGGTGAGTGGAATCGGAGGATTAAGGTGGGGAGGATTAAGTTTGATGGTGGTCAGGCAGCTAATTGTGTGGGTTGCTTTGCATGGAAGATAATACAGCTGAAAAACATTGGTAAGGTTCTCTTCAAATATATTTGTGCAAAATTAAATATAAAATACATAATTATGCTACGAAACGACACATTTTTACTTAATTACAATTTTGAGTATATTTTTTAGAGTACGACAATTCAGTATGAGTGAATGCATACATGTTGAAACGGTTGAAAAAGTCGACTAAAATAAATTTTCGAAACAAGTTTTAACATTATATTTGAGAAAATTTTTTGTAACACATATAATACAATATTTTAAACCAATTAATACTTATTTGTTTATTATTTTTCATGGGATTTATAAGTTAGTTGATTTTGTTTTTTTAATTGTAAAAGTAGATATTAACTATAATTTATTTTATACATGCATTATCAATGCCAAATCTAAAATATTATTATGTTGATGTGTTCTTTGTGAAATAAAATGACACCTAAATTTGTTATATATGAGATTTATTTTATTTTATTTTATTCCGAACCAATTAGGTCTATAATAATTGTCGAATCATTTTTAATTATCTTCAATCATTGCTGGACGCTGACACCTGAAATTACAACCTACCTATTTTTGTTTCTTATTTTCAGTACACTACTAATGCCTTTCACTCGCTTTCTCATCATACTTCTATCATTATTACATATTTTAATCATACAAACTTTTATTTTTGCTATATTATATTTTTGACATATTATTAAAGGAATGACATCTTTTCACGTCAGAAATAATTATATACTAGTAATCCATTCTGCGCGCACATATGCATATGTTATAAAAAAAAATAACATATATTTTTATATAAAGATTACAACTAAAATAAATTTTTTTTAACAATATCTATAACATTTATAATTGAATTACTACATTAATTAAGTAAGTTATTTGAGAATTATTACTTCTTAGTTTAATTTTAAAATCTTAGCAGAAAAAACTAAATATAAATATGAAATTTACAATATATTAATGAACAATTGTTATATGAATATATTGAATAATATATTTTTTATATAATTTGAGGATTTCAAGAATATTTATTACACTACGGCAAAAAAAAAAAAGACAACATAAATTTCGTATTACAGAAAAAATAATGAAGATTATAACAAAATCGTAAAATTTTATTAAAAAATTTGACAATAACTACAAGAATAAATTAGTCCTTGTATAAGAAAAAAGACGATAAACTATAAACAAGGTTTCAAACTTTTTCACAAAAACATATGTTTAATTTTATTGTAATCTCTAATAGACTAATAGTCAGCTCTTTTGTTGCAAAAGTACTGAATAATATTATTTTCAAATATAAATATATATATATATATATATATATATATATATATATATATAATAACCAAATAAACAATAAATTGAAACTCACGTTTAAAATGGATAACTCATTGTCCTATAATGGCTATTGAATTATATGCACACAAATAACATTATGCATATTTAAGTAAGAAGTTAAAAAATATTTTTATTGATCGAATAAAAAATAAGAAAACAAAATATATATAAGAATATATATTTTATTTAATTATCATTTATTATAAACTAATTTCATCAGAACTTCACATAAAAAAAAAAAGAAAACTATATTTAGTTATGTGAAATTAAGGAAAACAATTAATTCATTTTAATAACCAATTATACTAAAATGTTCTTTTTCCCTTTAAAATTTTCTAATAATTTTTGCCTTTAGAATTTTTGGGCCCTGGGCGGCTGCACCGCTGGCCCTGCCCCATGCCGGCTTTGATAACTATATGTCAAGTTTGTTTAGTTTGCTAAAATACTCTTTTAAATACCATAAATGCCAATAAGAACCAAAAAAATCAAACATCACAACTACATTAATAAAATCTAAGGTGCCTAAAATATTTTGTTTCCCAACACCACATAATAAATATATCTTGCTAAAATATTTTGCTTTTTTAGTTCCTATCGAATATGCGACCCCGATATAATTTTAAAATAAATTGTATTTTGACTGAAATTGCTCCATCCACTTACATGTTTTTTAAATTTTATATTGAAATTATTTATAAAAAAAATAATGACATAAGTTTTTTAAATTGAAATTTCAAATATTTTTTAGAAATATTATTATTATTTATACTTACAGTGAAATTTTTTTGTTCGGTACGTATTATATTTTTTTTAATTCATATATAATGAATTTATACATATTTTTTAATTGATGTATAATTTATATTACTATTAATAACTGATTTTAATTTATAATAAAGAAAAACAAGATTGTTTATTTATTTTATATATGCAATATGGATATCAAAGTCAAAAAGATATTAATTTGATATATTATATATAAAATATTGATAACAAACAATAAAGTTATTAACTTTTAATAAATATTAATGTTTTTGTGACAAGCAAACGTTTAAGAAAACGAATGAGTGTTGCATCATTTTTAATTAAAAATGGTGTTCTTACAAAATTTATTTTTTAAGATTTTTAAAAATTGAAAAGTGTTGATGTAAGAAAATGTAACCAACAATATAATGAATCGTATAATAAGTTATGTACTTAGTTCGGTTTACACGAGTATAGATGCTTTGGAAGTGTAAACCGAATAGGTGTTCTATTCGCGACTTTCATATGTAATTTATTTATGAGAAGAATATTCTCTTGCATTAAGTGTTCTTTTTTTTTTCCGGAACGATAGAGAATTGCATTAAGTGTTCTCTTTCATTCATTCTATAGGAAAATTGAGGTCTTATTATATTCGGCATTTTTTTTTTTTCTTATTGGAGATATTCTAATGATATATGGTTAACATCAGCATTAAATGCAGTGCTTTACAGAACTAATCTCGGCGCAGACGGAGCCCCCAGTTTGCGACACGTGTCCTTGCTCATTTGTCTACAAGGCAAACAATATTCGATGTGGAAAATATTGTTTCCAGTGTCACTAATCGAAAGAATTTGATGCATAAGGACTGAGCATTTATATCACAAAGTAGCATATGAGAACACTGAAAAATTTTCACCTAAGCTTGAAAATCCTCTATGAACACATTCTCCGGGGTCCAAGCCCTTTCTCATTCAACAAGAGATGAATACAATGGCGAGCAGCACCAATACAGCGCCGTTGTGAACCAATGGGTCGATTCGAACCCCAGTTTGAAAACTTATTTCAAAGGCCCTGAAGGCGCTTCTAATTTCACCCATGGTATAACTGTTACCCAGGTTGGTCATTTTTCATTTTGTTTTTTAACTTTTATGCCTTTTTGGTGATGGAATATTGGTTGATGTTCATCTCATGTGAGCTGCATTGGGTAAATGAGGTGAAAAATGGAAGTTTTCAGTGAATAAATGAGGTGAAAACACAAAAGTGCAGCATTATCTCATCCAATAACATCAAATAACACATTTAATTTGTCGTCCGATGGCCACAAGTGCAAAGAAAAGGAATCGCTTTTTCACGTAAGGGGACTTCAATCTCTTCACTCCTGGAAAAAGAAAAAAAAAGCACCAACAGATTTCAATGGAGAACAAACAAACAAACAAAAAGAAAACACAGAATGAAAGTAAAGACTTATTACTACCTCTTATCATCAACCTCACTCCAGTTCCTCTTAACCCCAAATCGGAAAATGCTTTCCCCAACAATGTGAGCATACAGTTTCACCGGCATTTCATTCCTTATCAGCTTCTTAGAATGATTATGGACATCCCAGAGGAAAATCAAGTGGTCGCGAGGAATCACAAGTCGCGTTTCCTCCTTGATGAGACTCAGTCCCATGGGTGTGATCATCAGCCTCACCCATTCCGGCTTCAAAGCTCCATAGTCCTTCAAAACCCAACCTGTGCACAAATCTTCGTCTTGAAACACAACCAAACGCCCTCCCAAAACCTTGGAATGCAAGACATACGACATATCACAAAATGGCAAGGGCAGCTTGCGGAACTTCTCGGTGGCCAGATCTAGCGCAATTAACTCGCCCCTTTCCTCCGTGAACCAGTACAGGGTCCCGTTTAACAATGTGGCTTCACTCCAAATACACAGGCGGGACGAGCATTTATCCTCTATCCTCTTCCAAGATTTAGATCGGAGGCTGTAGATGTGAGCTCGGAACGAGTATCCTCCGTTTTCCTCACGGAAACAAACCACTTTGTCGTCTTAGGACGGGTCGTACCCTATCTAGCGTTTCCAAATTGGGCTGTCTGCGGGACAAATCGGGGGCAGCTCGAGATAATCTCCGGTGAGAGGGTTTGTTACGGGCCTAACTTTGGGGCTCGGGACTTGGCACGATCCCTTAGAGTGCCATGATCCCAGAGACCCGAGCACAAAGGTGCGAGGGTTCGATTAAGGGAAGGATGCGAGCTGGGCGCGTCCTTGTGGCTGAAGGTCGGGATCAGTCAGGTCTTTGTGGGGCGACGAAGACATATGTGCATTACTTAGCTGAAATTGTCCAAGTGTTGGTCGGATCATGCTGCATTGGGTCGAGACCTTGGGTGGGGGTCGAGACGTGCATCGAGTTGGTTGATTAAGGCGAGGGCTCGGTCTGACGAGGGTTGCTGCGGGTTGTGCATGGCCTTGCGGTTACGTTGGTTTAACTCGGACGAGGATGTTGGCTAATCAATCAAATACATGGTTGGACTTAGGCGTATTCGGGCACACGAGTGCTTTGATGATGCAGTCCGATGGGCGCGTGCGAGGGTGGCACCGCGTCTAAGCCGTTGGCGGGAACAGTTGGATTTTGAATTGGCAGTTAGGTTGCACGTGGACTAGTTGGTTACTATGTCCCACGTGGCCTAAGCGGATCATTCCGTCGAGTAGTTGCATGGCCGAGTGGGAACAAGGAAAGCAAGACACGTGGCTGGGCAGTTTCCAGGGACACGTGGCCTTGACGATTTTCTAACCTGCGAGGGAGTTGGGCAAGGATACAGCACGACGATTGGCGCCCGTTGTTGCATGAAGCTGAGTTGGCGTCCGATGGATGCATGCACGTGCAATGGGGCAGTTGCGGATAACTGTCGGGCGGTTACCAAGCGGTTGGAACTGCTGGGGTCCGAGGCCTATAAAAAGGCCTAGGCAAACATATGCGCGGGAGAGAGCGAAACACTTTGAGCGTGATCAAGCGAACGACCACGTTATACACTTTGTGAGCGAGACTTTGTACTGCGTACTTATAGATGCGAGAGTTGGCACACGCCAAATGTAATAGCGAGTGTGTATAAAGCCAATTTCTGTAAGGCTGGTATATGTATGCATGTATGTGTGCCTGCGTGCACAAAAGTGTTGGTGTGAACCGTGTATGCGAGCTGTAGGATCTTCCTTTGTACTTAGTGTTATAAAAGTGCATTGGTTGGGCGCGAGCCCGTAATTGTGCGTGTCACTATTTTACTTGATAGCTTCCGCATGTGTATATTTGTGACTTGCTTGCATAACCTCGATTGATACTTGTATGGGCGAGCGAACGATTGAGGGACGGTGAAAGGCTGACTGGTTCGAGGGGAATCAGGCCGCATAGGGTGCTAAGGAGCGAAAAATTTTAGCCTCTTTTTAGACCTTGTGACAGGGTTCCATATCACCCAGTGTTTGCGGTCGTGGCGGATGAGGAGGACAAAGCCATTGCAGGAGCCCGCAACCGACAGGAAACCCGATCACGGCGGGAGCAGGGCGCTCGGGACCCGGGTGGCACTGAGGGTCCGCATGTCATCAATGTAGTTCAGGCAATCGACGGGAAGGGAGTAGATTTCGTGGGAGTTGGATTTCATGAGGCGGTTGGAGTTGGAGTTGGAGTTGGAGGTGGAGGTGAGGTGGTTGTTTACCGTGTGGGCCCTGACGAAGAATGGATCGTCGATCTCGTGGCACCAAGAGTTGCAGACGGCGCGAAATCGGAGGAGGGAGGAGGCAGAGAGGCAGAGGAGGATCTCGTGGTGGAGATCGGAGGGGAGGCCCATCGATTTGGGATTATTAGGGTAGGATTAGGGAAGGAAGGGTTGATTGATACAAGGATTTTGGAATTTGTAAACTCACCTCACCTCACCTCATTTACCCTATTTTATGATATAGTCTAGCACTTTGATGAAGATCGTGCATCGTTAGGTAAAAATAAAACCCTCACTAACGCCTGCCGATTCAACACAATGATTTTGTGAAAACCCGCATTAAGGTCGTCACCTCGTTGGTTTAACACGAATAAATTGCTCCAAAATAAGGGTGTGATTGTTTATCAATTCACCCAAAAAAGAATTCAATCAAAACTCAAATTTAACTCAACCTCACTATTTCCAGTATTATCAATATAATTAAATAATATCAACTAATCATTCTTACACATCACATCAACTTTAATTCACTATTCATTCACTCACATAATTTTAACTGACAATCACTTCCAATCATTTTTCTTTTACTTTTGCATCATATCAACTTTAATTATTTTATTTTCCACTAACAACTAACCATATTTACTTTTTTTCAAAATTAACTATAGTTAGAAAAAAACCAATTAATTTCTAGATGAATTCATAAACAATCACCCCCTAAGTCTTTTTCTTAATTTTTATAGCATAAAATTATAATCTCTTACTGTCTTGCATATGATCAGTACACAATTTGCTATACTTATATAGCAAAGTCAAATTCAAATTGCAGTAACTAAATACATTCAAGCTTTCAAAATAGAAATCAATCCCGCCAATCTTCATTATGTGTCTGTCACAGATAAGCCGTGCCCACGACTTATATAAATTTGCTCTTGTACGACCCTTTAAGCGAGACTTGCATGTTCTCCGGTTGGCACGATCACTCGGTTCACATCACACTTCTCAGACACACACTAGTGACCCAAACAATGCCTGAAGTTTGACACAAAAATGCCTTGAAAAGGGTGAACTAAATTTGGCCAAAAAATTTGCAATTGTCACCAAAAAAAAAAGTTTCCCTTTGTCCGTGAAAATAATTCTTTATGCCGATCACCTGATCAACTGAAACCTGTCGATCCCACGACCGTCGATCACTCTGCAGCATATGAACACTCTCTAACAGATTAAACTCGTAAAGCCGCTAAAGACGGTGAAACCATCGCCCAAATGGTTCGTTCTTGCCGTCCAAATTGGTCACATTCTTGCAGGTCTAAAGAAAATACGTCATGTCCTTAAAAAGCGAACTTCTGCCTAGCACCACGCGTCCTTCGCTTAGCCACCAAGGTTCCAAATAGCCATAATTACTATTTACCTATCTCCTTGTATAAAGGTGGTCATCGGTACCTATTTTAGGCAAGCCGAAAAGGCAGAACAAGCAAAACACACATAGATAAACAACAAAGAGCAAGATATACACTTACTGCATACAATCATAGTCACTATTGTAACCACAACTATTGTTGCTAGTCACTTCTTCGGAGAGCCCTTCTCCTCGTCGAAACGAAATCGTGTATTTTTTTTTATTTTTCTATTATTTCATTCCGCACTTTACCTTTCACCAGCATAATTCATATTAAACTTCTATTTAATTATCATTTATACACCCTTGATCCCGTGATTAAGGATTGTTGGCGATCGCTCGTCAACGTTGTTTGAACACCGTAGTTTCTAGATTTCAATGAAAATATGGGTTGACGCTAACAAAGTCGATCCTACAGGAGAGTCAGGATACAGATTACCGCATGTGAGGGAGAAGTAGATATTGCTGCTGCTGAGCAAGGAGGTCAATATCAATGCCCACGTTCAGTGGGTATCGCGGTTAGGCTTGTACATTTTTTAACTTTTTTTTTTCTTTTTGGTATCTAAATTTATTTTTATGACTTTAGATCATAGGTTAATTTATATTTGTGTGTTGGAAATGAAGTGTTAGTGAAATATTTACAATCTTGGTGGCTAGATGATAAATCTACACTTAGGACTGCGTGTGGATGGCAATCTAAATGCATTAAGAGAAGTGGATCAGAAATTCTATGGAGCCATCGGATGACTCACTCATGAGTCATCCACAACTTTATGTTTTGACATGCGTCCAATGTGCATTAATTACAGGACATGTATCAATACACTATTTGTGAATAACTATGGATGACTCCATAAGCCGAGTCATCCGAGGGCTCCATAGCAAAACCGCCATGTGGATATCTTCTTATATTCAGAAGCTTTATAGTGAAAAATGGACCTATTTAACTAAAATTTTGATTTTCTTTTTCCAAGATAAACATATATAGCAATAATAAAACCAAATCCAAGTACATGCCCGGAGAGCTGACTAGCTCAAACAGATAACAAAAGAAAAAAAAAAAACAGAGAACCATTCCTGCGATGGCCTACATACACACCCATAAGATGGCTAAAAACACCCATAAGATGGCTAAAGGCAAATACACAGATTCAAAACCTTTAGCATAAGAGCATCAATACACAACTACAACCCAACCACACAAACAAAGAGAAATAGGCCACTGAACATAAGAACCTCGCCTCACAAAAACAGGAAGAAAAAATCAATAAGCCAAGCACCATATAAGCAGAATTCAGACCAGTCACTAACGGCATTACGAACAATAATCGGCTCCGGCATCCAAACCTTTTGAAACAACCAAATATATTGCGCGACTTCCAAAGTCACCACAAAATGTATGTTGAAAGTTGAAACACCTCAAAAATTTTCGTGCTTGTACTGAATGTATTGTCAACTTCGACAGATGGATGTCATATATTCATAAGAAAATTATGTGGCTAAATGCGGGAAGCCTGTGAAGACACGAAAAAAAACTATCGTTCATTATGGAACAATCCACCCCCTGACCAGCTACGTGATTAACTATGTGAAGTGTTCTAAAAACCAAATCTTTTGGAGAATTTCATGCAACTCTGTTCCTTCAATTGAGAAAGTGAAATTTAATTGACATTGACGATGAATTAACAGAGTAAATAAAAACCAAATTCCAATCGGTTGTACAGTGCGCACAGCCGAGGCCTTCTAGTGTGTACACTACATGTCACCCCAGCTGAAGTCCCTAACATCCATCCAAACATGGGATTCTAAAACACATAAAACCATAGTAAAAATGTATGAAACTCACATTTAATCTGTCATCTGATGGCCACCACAAGTGCAGACAAAAGGGCGCAACTCTTTCTCACTGAAGAGGACTTCAATCTTTTCACTCCTGAAAAGAAAAACACCAACATATTTTAATGGAGAACAAACACACAAACAAAAAGAAAACAAAAGATGAAAGTAAGGACTTATTATTACCTCTTATCATCAGCCTCACTCCAGTTCCTCTTCACCCCAAATCGGAAAATGTTTTCCCCAGCAACAATAAGAGTATCCATATGTTGGGAAAAATTCACCTGCTCCTCAATCCATATGAGCTTCTCAGAATGATTCTTGACATCCCAGAGTAAAATCATGCGCTCACGAGAAATCGCAAACTGCGTCTCCTCCTTGATGAGGCTGAGTCCCATGGGTGTGATCAGCCTCACCCATTCCGGCTTCAAAGCTGCATAGTCCTTCAAAACCCAAGCTGTGCACGAATCTTCCTCTTGAAACACGACCAAGCGCCCTCCCAAAACCTTGGAACGCACGATATACGACCTTCTACAATATGGCAATGGCAGCTTGCGGAACTTCTCGGTGGCCAGATCCAGCGCAACTAGCTCGCCCATTTCATCCGTGACCCAGTACAGGGCCCCGTTTAACACTGTGGGTGCACTCGGGGTCCACAGGCGGGACGGGCACTTCTCCTCTATCATCTTCCAAGAGTTAGATCTGAGGCTGTAGATGTGAGCCTGGTTCACGAGTTTCTTTTCCTCGAGGATACTAACGACTTTGTAGTCGTCTGAGGACGGGTCGTACCCTATCCCGCATCCCAAAAATGGGGTTCTTGCGAGACAAGTCGGGGCCAGCTCGAGATAATCTCCGGTGAGAGGGTTCCATATAACCCACTCTTTGTGGCGGATGAGGAGGACGAGGCCATTGCCGGAGTCCGCAGCCAACCGGAGATTCGATCCCGGCGGGAGCAGGGCGCTCGGGACCCGGGTGACACTGAGGTACCGCTGGCCATCGACGTAGTTCAGAGAATCGACGGGAATAGAGTAGATGGCGCCGGAGGATGATGTCAGGAGGAGGATGGAGTTGGAGGTGGAGGTGCGGTGGTTGTGTACCGTGTGGGCTCTGATGAAGGATGGATCGTCGATCTCGTGGCACCAGGACTTGCAGACGGCGCGAAATCGGAAGAGGGAAGAGGCAGGGAGGCGGAGGAGGATCTCGCAGTGGAGCTCGGAGGGGAGGCCCATCGATTTGGGAATACTAGAGTAGGATTAGGAAAGAAAGAGTTGATTGATATTTGTGTTTTAAAAAGTGATGCTTGCGTTTTGGTCTTTATGCTAAAGCTATGTTTCGTAGACAAATAAGTTAGCTTATAATTTATTTGGTTAACTTATAATCTTCTTGTATTCAAATAAGCTTATTTAAAAAGCTCGATCTGATTTGATAAGCTTATTTATGTAGCTTTTCAAATCAGCTAGTTGAATTTTTTTATTCCAGCTAGCTTAACAACTAATTTTACTAAACACTTTTATCATATAAGCTAGCTTATCAACTATAAGTCATAAACTATAAGTTAAAAAATACTGATAAGCTATAAGCTAACTTATCAACTAGTTCTACCAAACATAACCTAAGTAACATAAAAGTGTTGCGCATTGTCTAAACTATTTGAGTAAAAAAGATTATTGTTATAAAAATATCATATATATTCTTGCATATAATAAACTAGATGGTTGATTCTAAAAATTATCATAAGATTTGAATGGACTCAAAATTTATAAGAATTATTTCTTACATATGTTTAATGTAAATATATAATATAAATAATTAAATAATTAAGTGAATATACTAAAAATTAAAAACAGACAATAAAAATATAATAAGATAAGTCATAATTTAATTTTAAGCATATATATTACAATTAAGTTGTGTAATTTGTAATTTAATTCTAACCACTAGATCTAAAAATTTTATTCTTAAATTTAAATGTCAAATACCAATATATATAAATAATGGTAAAATATAATTAGATCGATATATGTTACACTATTCAACTTAAGACTTTGTATTTTTAAACTTTTAATTTGAAATCATTATAAGAAAAAAAAATAGTTTTTAATTGTCATTTAAAATCCTCCTTATATATTATTCTCGAATGCGCTGAGCCTACGTGGCTGTTTCTGGTGTTTCGGAATCCTACTTGGCAAAGAATCATGCTTCGTAATCAGGTTTGGACAAATCATATTGATATATTAATAATTAATAATCTAGGTTCGGACATTTCATAAATATTATTTAGCTAGCTTAGGTATTTTAATATAATTTTTACTAATATAACCCTTTAATTCTTTGTAATTTTACATAATGAGACACTAAATGACTAATATATCTCTGACTTTTGATTTGTTTCCTTCAATTAGCTATTGAATTGTAAATGTATTTTAAAAGTTGATAACTTTTGTATTTCTTATCGGTTTTACATATATAATATATCAAATTAATTATCTTTTGATGATCTTCGATTTGACATCCATATTGTATATATGAAATAAATAAATCGTATTTATCTTTATAATAATATTTATTAAAATTCATTAGAAAAATAAAATTATTTCTCAACTGATATATTTATGTTTAATGTAGTTATATGTTGTAAGTCAAAAAAAATATTATAATATAACAATATAAGTCGCACAAATAAAAAAGTGTCATACTAAATATACAACAATATATATTTTTATAAAAGGTATTGAAATTTTCAATTACTTTTTCTCATTAATTTTAGGTTTTAATAAAAAATTAGCAAGCACCCGTGTAATACACGGGCGTTGTACTAGTATAACTCTAACCCCTAAAATTACAAGTTTATTGAATATTTTGTTGTTTAAATATCGTCGTAAAAATATAGCACAAAATTGGGTGAAATAACATAAAATAGCGTACTATTTCAATATTCCGCGTAAGTTTTTGGGAAGAACGCTAAATATATAAAGCTACATCGTATTTTTTGAATAAAAAGCAATACAACGAGCCACATAGCAAGCTATTTAAAACAGTAATTGATATACAATGATTTTGGAATATATACTCACCTCACCTCACCTCATTTACCCTATTTGTTGGAGATGGGCCATTAAGGTTATGGTCGATGTAGAGAATTTTGTTTCTTGGTCCAATGGTTTTATGATTTATGATTGAGGAATTTGCATCTCTTACCATCATGTGTGATTTATATTACACTTTTATACTCCTTATATTCTTATTTATAAAATTACCTTAACAATTCAAAAGTATTTGGATTTTACCTATAACCGTTATTACATTATTTTCCAGGTACTCGTGATTATCAATTCAATGCTACTAAATGTGTGCTCCTTTTCATTTTCAGTTTTATCGGCTTTAGCCCTTATTGAAATTTGAGTCCCTAGTAATAAATTTGGTGTTGAAATGATTTGGTTGTGAATTGATTGAATGAAGTTTAGTGGATGAATTGTTGGTGGTGAGTTGATTTGGTGCAGAGAGAAAAAACCACCTTATTTATTTGCTTCTTCTTTTTTTTTCATTTTTTTTTTTTTTTGTTTGTTTGGTGGATATTTGGGTTTTTTGTGTCTATTTTGGATGTTTCTTGCAGAAAATGTGAACTCATTACTTATGTCTCTGCTAATTTTGTCCAATAAAAAACAGGTTTTGATGGTTCATCTGGTAGTGATGAGATAAGAGAAAGTCCGATTTCGCAAATTATTAGAATGAAAGGAGAACGAGGATTGGTTCTTTGAAAAAGAAAGCACTTAATTATGAGGGTTTTTTTTTTTTCTTTTTTCTTTAACCCGCGGCACGAGGAAATCGACAGTATATGTTGCGTGTATATGTAGTATATGTTCAATATATGTTTTAGATGAAAAACTTCTCATAGGATAATTGTTGAACGCTTGATGTGCTTAACTCGTAGATAGATAGTTTTCATTTTGTATAAGTTGCGGGTATATGTTGTGTATATATGGTGTTATATATTCTGTATAATATAAAGGCAACCATAAATGTATGTATGGTTTATACTGACAAAGCATAAACTTTTTTTTTGTTTGTTTGTATATGTATGATTTATATTCAGTATATTATTGGTATATGATAAAGATATTTATCGCGAGACATAATTTTTATGTATAAAATCTATTTATATTTAGCATAAATTGAATTTTTTTGTTGGTGTTGTGTATATGTAAGGTTTTATATCTGTTATAATATGTTTTTAAACTATATATATACTTTTATGTATAAAAGAAAAAAAGAAAAAGAAAAAAAAAAGGAAGATATAATTTTTTGATGGAAGACATTTTTTTTTTCATCGCAACATATACTGAATATATAATAACATAAACGCAATATATACCACCTGACAACTGCGTGAATCAATTGCGCACATATACTGAATATATAATAAAATAAACGCAATATATACCACCTGACAGCTGCATGAATTAAATAATTCATGTTGTGCGAATTAAGGAATTAAATGAATAAGTTATTTATTTTCATTTCTCTCTCTTATGAGTCAACATTTTTTTGTATGGTAACTGAAATCAAGTAAATCTCCAATTAATTCAATAGATTAGGTACATATGCAATTAAATTTATATTAGTTGCAAAATCGTAAATAAATCTAAATATTGTGGGATAGATGAAAATTTCCCGATATGATTTATGTCCCACCACTTTGATGAAGATAGTTCTAAGATCGTCTGGTTTTATGATTTATGATTTATGTCCCAGCACTTTGATGAAGATAGTTCTAAGATCGTTTATCGTTACGTAAAACCCACACTATCGGTCGCCAAATGAACACAATAATTTTTTGGAAACCCGTATTAAGGTTGTCATTTTAACACGAATAAATTGCTCGAAAACAAGTCTTTTTATTTTATTTTTTTTATAGCATAAAATGAAAATATCTTGCATGATCAGTACACAACTTACATACCAAATTTAAATTAAACTTACACTGACTAAACACATTAAACTTTCAAAATAAAAACTAATCTCGTCAATCTTCATTATGGGTTTGTCACAAAAAGTTATGCCCGCGGCTTATACAAATTTTTGCTCATGTTCGCCCCTTCAAACGAGACCTATTTGCATGCTTTCCCGTCGACGATCATTCGGTTCGCATCATTCCTGCCCCCTTCACGAATATTCTTGTCCTTGAGGATAAAAATCTCCAAAGTCGCCACCTCATACTTGCTCATTTTTGTATTGCTCGACTCATGTTTCTCCACGACTTTTGTTATCTTCCTCTTGCTACAAGTTTCAATCCTCCAGCCGATGGCCTTTTCAATTCGACGAGACCACGCCTCATTTACACGACTTGCTCCGCTATCGACGTCCTTCCGACCCGGCGTGACCAAGCCTCCACTCGTCCAAATATAATGAAGTTTACAAACGAAAAAATACCGTTGCAATTCATATAACTCATATTGTACAAATATAACGAAGTTTACAAACGAAACCCAAACAAATACAAAAATCTACATCAAAGAATGGCGGAAGGTTGTGGGGATCCACCCTGTAAACCAGAGGCGGCGAGCCCACCAGCTCCACTCCAGTGACGGTTCATGGGTGATTAACCAACACTTACAAACTGATACAACAATGTATAGCTCACGAAACACGATCACATACCTTCCCCATCGTTTTCCCTCCGGCCACCGAGAGAGGAATAGAAGGCAACGGCGATTCACGAAGTCCGAGTCCAGGTATGGGCGAGTTAAACAAGTCCAGGTATGGGTGACGGATATTGAGATAATCGCTATCTGATCAGCTTTTTTGTAGGTGAGAGGGATTGCATGCCATGGACTATGGGCTGCAACAAAATTGATTATCCCCTTTCTGTAAATATGTAAGAACTCACATTTAATCTGTCATCTGATGGCCACAAGTGCAAAGAAAAGGGCTCTTTTTTTCACCAAAGAGCACTTGAATCTTTTCACTCCTGAAAAAAAAACACCAACATATTTTAATAAACAGGTGAACAAACAAAAGGAAAACAAAGAAGAAAGTAAGGACTTATTATTACCTCTTATCATCAGCCTCACTCCAGTTCCTCTTCACCCCAAATCGGAAAATGCTTTCCCCAACAATAAGAGTATTCATAGGTTGACAAAATTTCACCTCCTTCTCAATCCATATGACCTTCTCAGAATGATTCTGGACATCCCAAAGTAAAATCATGCGGTCATAAGAAATCACAAGCCGTGTGTCCTTCTTGATGAGGCCGAGTCCCGTGGCTGTGATCAGCCTCACCCATTCCGGTTTCAAAGCTCCATAGTCCTTCAAAACCCAAGCTGTGCACAAGTCTTCATTTTGAACCACGACCAAGTGCCCTCCCAAAACCTTGGAATGCAAGAGATACGACGTATTACGATATGGCAAGGGCAGCTTGCGGAACTTCTCGGTGGCCAGATCCAGTGCAATTACCTCGTCCGCTTTCGCCGAGAACCAGTGCAGGGCCCCGTTTAACACTGTGGGTGCACTCGAGTTTAGGCGGGAAGGGCGGGAAGGGCACTTCTCCTCTATCCTCTTCCAAAAGTTATATCTGAGGCTGTAGATGTGAGTCCGGTACACGAGTTTCTTTTCCCTATGGATACTGACCACTTTGTAGTCGTCTGATGACGGGTCGTACCCTATCCCGCATCCCAAAATTCGGCTGCTCGCGAGACAGATCGGGGGCAGCTCGAGATAATCTCCGGTGAGAGGGTTCCATATCACCCACTCTTTGTGGCGGATGAGGACGAGGCCATTGCAGGAGACCGCCTTCGACATGCGATTCGATCCCGGCGGGAGGATGGCGCTCGGGAGCCGGGTGGCACTGAGGGTCCGCTGGCCATCGACGTAGTTCAGGGAATCGAGGGGAAGGGAGTAGATGGCGTCGGAGTTGGATGTCAGGAGGAGGTTGGAGTTGGAGGTGGAGGTGGAGGTGAGGTGGTGGTTTACCGTGTGGGCCCTGACGAAGGATGGATCGTCGATCTCGTGGCACCAAGACTTGCAGACGGCGCGAAATCGGAGGAGAGAGGAGGCAGGGAGGCGGAGGAGGATCTCGCGGTGGAGGTCGGAGGGGAGGCCCATCGATTTGGGAGAAAATTCCTCGAGATAACAGCTTCCGAAATCATGAAACCCTAACCCACAAAATATACCATTCTCAATTTTCACCTCAATTGAAAACAAACGAATAGGTCGACCTGCTTGGGCCTGCTACCTAGTCCGATAGCCTTCACGACGCGACGACCTGCTTGGGCCCTGCTGCTGCTACTTGGGCCAGTTTCTTGTAGACTTGTCGTGACTGGGCCTGTTTGGCCTGCTGGCTGGGTGCGTTTCTGCATCTTATGATCGACCGGTGCGTGATCGGTTCGCCTCAGCCTGGTCTCCAAGACTTCACCTCCACGAGTACGGGCCTAACGGCATAAGGGATCCACACCCAGAGGTGTGGAACTAATCCTCCAGAAGAAATGAAGTGTCTCATCCCCACTCTTCACTATAGTCAGGTTCGATCATCTGATCTTCGCTTTAAAAGTGTGAATGTTGAAGGAGAAAAAAATATAACCAGAGACAAAAAATTTAGGTTAATTGTATTTAAAATCCTAAATTTTTGTGTAATTGCAAATAAAACTCAACGTTTTTAATTTGACAAAAAAATATCAAACCTCTAATAAGTATAGCGTCTCAAAATCAGTTTCCGGCCATACCAAACCTTGAATAAGATGACCGGAAAAGTCGTCGCCTGAAAAAGTCACCGGTTCCGACGAAGGTGGATGTCACTAGATGCGGCTTTGCGAGATGAGTTCAACGGTACCTTTGGATTCACATGGGTCAAAGCGAGTCACCGGGAATTTGCGAAAGAACGCCGGCGGCGGATGGCAGTTGGCGATGGTCCGTCGGGTGAGACACAAATGCAATACTTATTAAAAGTTTGGTATTTTTTTTGCCAAATTGAAAAAAATGAGTTTTATTTGTAATTATACGAAATGTTAGGATTTTAAATGCAATTAACCCAAAAATTTATAACTTTTTTTTGAAGAATTTAGGAGGGAGCTTGAATTGGTTGGTTAGAGTATTGTTTCCCTTATATTGTTCTGTTTGTTTTTGTTTTTTGAGTTGTTTAGTTCTGGAGAATTGATTTGATCATTATAGTGTCTTATTTTTTGTCCATTAGAGGGAATGTTCCACAATTAATAAAGAAAATTTTAGCCCACTCAACACCATATATGAATGGAATGAATTAAAAAATAAAAAATAAAAAAAATACACTTGGTAAATCAGACCACTATATTTTTTAATAAATGCAAATAATTACACACATTTTCAGAAAAAATAATATAAATAAATTATAGAATTTTTTTCAATATAAAAATGTATTTTCTTTTGTTAAAAAAAGTTAAAAAAAAAAAAAAAAAAAGATATATCTAAGGAAGAGAGTAAACGGCTTGATCCATAAGGACTGAGCATTTATATCACAAAGCAGCACATGAGCACACTGAAAAATTTTCCGCTTTTAGCTTGAAAATCCTCTCTTAATCACATTCACTGAGCCCATTTCTCGCTCACCGTGAGATGAACACAACGGCGAGCAGCACCAATACGGCGCCGTCTGGAACCAATGGGTCGAACCCTGGTTTGAAAACGTATTTCAAAGGCCCCGAAGGCAAATACAAGCTTCAGTACGAGAAAACCTATCCCCTTGCCGCTTCTAATTTCGCCCATGGTAGAACTGTTACCCAGGTTGGTCGATTTTTCGTTATTTTTTTCTTTTTTTTTTTATTTTTTGTGAATTTTTTTGTTTTTGTGTGGATTTGGATAGTTTATGTGTTGTTGGATGTTTATAGTGCAAAAAGATTGAATTAATTGGTGGAATATTGGTTGATGTTCATGTCTTGTGAGCTGAATTGGATAAATAGGTGTAATTGTAATTTGTAAATAGGCTGGAGCTTTGTAATGGCTTGTGTTGTACTGTCGACTTCTTGTTCTTGAGGTTTGAACTGGAAAATTCTTGTGTGTGAAGTGTTTTATGATGATACAAGAGTTATCTGACGCTAGCAAATTGTTCTGAAGCTCGAAAGCTTCTGATTTGGGCAATTTGCAGGACTAAATGGAATTTTGCAGTGAATAAATGAGGCGAAAGATTGGGAAATTTTTTATATTTCATACATGTAATATGCCGGTTGTTGACTCGAAGATGATGTGAAAAATTTACGATAGCCCTTTCTGTTTAAGTTATTGAGTTTAAAATATGAAAACACGATTCTCTTCATTCAAGCCTTATTATGAAATCCTTCAACATTTTTTTCAGTTCATCGATCCGGGTTTATGTCTCTGCATAATTTTGTCGATAGGTCACAGTTGCACATCTTAAGGAAAAGCCAAAGGAGACACCATTTCAACCATCATCAACTTCAGGTGCAAGCACTGGAGTAAGGTCAGTGGCTGCCCGTTTATTGGGCGGCAGCACTGGCGTAAAGGCATTAAGCCATTCAGGTGGCAATGGCGGAAATAAATCTATAAATGGCACAAATGGTAAATTAGGATCATTAGGGGCCTCAAGTTTGAACAATGTTGTTGGTGTCTCGAATTTCGATGGTCAGGGATCTTACGTTGTGTTCAATGTTGGTGACACGATTCTGATCGGTGACTTAAATACTCAGGAAAAGGTACTTTCAAGTTTCAATCGAAAGTTTTATCGGGAATCGATTTTTTTTTTTTTTTTT